GCCCCGCCCCCCCCCCCCCCTCATTTTGTATGCAAATTGCAGGAATAACATGACATCATATCTTTTTAAGAGAAACAAAACACTACAAAAATAAACATGAGCATTAACATGAACAAAATTATTAGATAAACGGCATTCAAATCAGTAGGGAGCATGGTAATACCCGGCCGGTGGTAGCCCCATTCCATTGACAGGTGGCATCCCATAAGGCATCATTGGCGTAGGACCTCCATTGTAGTGACCAGTACCGCTGATCCTGACCAAACTAGCTTGGCCTTGCATCCCCTCCCTGGCATATTGGTGCCATGTCACCTGCTCCTGAACAAGCAAGTTTTGTTTCTTCTCCATATCAGCCATTTGGACATATGAAGGAGGTGGAACGCTCAAAGATGCGGCAAAAGGGTCCTGATTAACAGCCTGGACTGTTCCATCTGGAGCAGGAAGAGCTAAAACAGGCGTTGTATTCTTTCCAGGCCCTGGCAACGCCACACTACTAGCACTACCTCCACTTAATTGGGCAGTGCCAACATGTTGCCTCACCATTCCCTGATCATACCTTCCATTTAACAACAATGGATCAAAACCACCACCCAAGGTTGCTTTCTGCTTCGATAAATTACTAGCTGTCTCAACCAATGCCAATTCCCAATCTGCCTTGCCAGGTTCAGCAGCTGGAGTCTGCCAAGCTGAGGTCAATTGAGGTTCTCCATTAGATGGGAATGCTTCCCACGATCCATTCCCATTATTGGCAGGCGGACCAGCAAACAAAGCCAAAGCCAACGTATTCCCTTGATCGTCAGCCGTGACAGCATCGTCCCTCAAATTCACCAAATCCTCGGCAAACTGTGGCTGCTGAGGCTTGGTCTCTGGCTCGGGTGGAGGAGTGTAATTCTCCGGTGGAGGCAGGGCCTTAATTTCATTCATATCAGGCACCGGCTCCTCCTCTTGAGGCACAGGAGGTGCCTCCTCTCTCCTCTCCGGACTTTTAGGTCTCTTAGACCTATCCCTCAGAAACTCCTCCAAAGTCTCCAACAATTTACCCGTAATCCTCTGCACTTCGGGGTATTCAGACGATCTAGCCACACCAGTATCCTTACACCAGTTATAAAACGCAATCAACTCATCAATCTGCTTCGCCGCACTAGCATAAGCATCAAATGCCTTCACACAGTCAGGATACTCCATATCGAAAAATTTATCAAGCAGAACAGCCAAAACCTCACATATATCAGCATACAACTTAAAACTCTCTTTCACAACAGGATACAAGGCAATCAATATCATCCTATTATTCTTCGCCAACCCTGTCGGCCTACACGACAAGAACCTGTCCAACAACCTCTGCAAATGTCCCATCTTCCCAAAAATCCTCTCTGGCTTCATTTCCCTCAGCGGCGTCACTGTCTTCTTCTCTTCCCTCCCTTCTCTTCCCCCCATCTCACTCATATCCCCATAAGACCTCGTCCTCCTCGGCATCCCATACCCACTCTCCCCTCTATTATACTCGCCATTATACTGATCACTATACTCATAACCTCTCTGCTGCTGCGGCGACCTAAAATCACCCCTTCCTCCATCATACCTCTCAATTTCACCACCATTAGCACTCCCCCCACCGACACGGCCACCACCATCACCTCCTTTTCTTTCAAACAAGATCAGTTCAAGTCTTTGATCCAAGTACATGGCGAAAGTCCTAATAAAAGCGGAATGATCCCAGGAACTTGAATGTGCTTCATCTCTAAAATCACTCATATTCAACAACCTAGTTCCTTTCCTAGTCGCATACAAAATCTCCTCTTGAAACACCGGATCCCCTTCATTCAACAACCTATGGATAACCATCAATGCTTTCAACGCCACGATCCAATCCCGCGTTTTCCCTAATCTTCTCGAAACCAAAGATACACACGCATTGACATAACCCCGAGAAGACGATGTCAAACTCAGTATCTCCTGAATATGCTTCTGATTTGGCGGTTCATCGTCGTGGCTCGTTGCTTTCACAATTGCTACTTCAAGCTCCGGCGCCATATTACTCGCTACTTTGGCTATACTTATGCTTGTTTGATCTTTAACGGTCCCGATCGCTTTTCGAATCGTGCTCGGCGCCATATCGACCGTTTATGCTGAGCTGGAAGAAGCAAGCGGGCAAAAAGTAAGGAATTCAGTTCGAGGTTTTAGTAGTTTAAAAAGTAAGTTTACCGATGTGCCGGACTTCGAAGTTGTTGGATCTGGGAGGAGAAGGGTGGAAACTGCTGAAAACGGCGTCGGATCTACTGTGTTTTATAACAATCCCGGTGTCGAGAGCAGCGATGACAGAGAGGGAGATGGAAGAGGAGAGATTAAAGGAAAGAGCTAAGTGCGCGAGAATGTAGTTAGCTGTAATAAAAATCAAGAAAAGGTTGATTTAAAGAGGGAGTTGGGGTCCGGACAGGACGTGGAGGGAGGAGAGGCGTTGATCTGAGAAGTCGAGGAGAGACAGCAATAATAGCTGAAGTGCCCGAGGAGCTTTGAAAGGACTAAGAAACCCGATCTGGAACATAACCCGATCATACCCTATATCACGACTTATATAAATTAATTTAGATTAATTAAAATAATATTATTTTATTTTTTTAATAGTTAAAATAAATTTTTTAAATTAAAAAAAAAAACTCAACCAGATTTTAAACCCTCCATTTTTTTTTTGTTTTAATTGTTTACAAGAAAAACTATTTGTCTGGAGTCTGATATTCACACACATATATTTATATTTATGAAGGAAGGTTATGTATAAATAAAATTACGATAAAAACCTTATTGAAATTGTTAGCATTTAATGTATAAGATTCTGATAAAAATTGTTATCATTTAATTTTATTTACATTTAATTGAAAAGGAATTTAATTTTATTATGTGAAAATTGATTGAATATATTCTAATTGTTATCAAAATCCAGGAATGGAAGAGAATTTATATTGATGCCGTTAGTAATTTAGTCAATCCACTTTCAAATGATGGTGATTTATTTCTTCTATGCCCTAAAAAGAGAGTCCACCGTTGTGTGACAGGCTCAAATAATGTGATTGGAGCACGTAAAATGCATATTTTTTAGAAGAAAATAATTTGATGTTTAGGCCACGCCCTTTAAGATTTATTTTATATGAATGGAGAGGACAATCATGTAAATTAACTATTTGATGGAATTCTAAATATAAATTATCCAAAATCATTATTTATTATTTTTCACGGGGATTTGATGAAAAAGAGTTTTTGCTTCTTGATTATAGAAAAGCTACTATTTAGTCCTTGAAGGGTTGTCTTGTGATAAATAAAGGAGTAAACGAGGGTAATTTGAAAGTTCAGGGACTAAATAAATTAAGTTCACGCGAATTACATTAAGAGGACATAAACATGATTTGTTAATACGCGTACGATATCCAGTGATGCTTATTTTCTCTTTTTGTGGAATTTAGAGTTTCGGAATTATTGACGTGGTGGCTGATCCGGTTGTTTGGTCCCACAAGAAGAGGAGTGGACCAATGGGCAGGTGATTGATGGCCAAGTTTGGAGACTAATTAAAGTATTAATTAATCATTAAATATACGAAGTCAGATGTGCATAACAGGTCTTTGGTAATTAATTGCAGTCGGTGGATAGTTATATTTGTTTAGGAATAGAGATGGAGGCACCTTGGGAGCAAGCCTCGAACTCTTTTTTTTTTTATTTTTTTTTTTATAATAAATGTTAAAAATAAAGTTTAAAGAATAAAAAATAAATTATTTTCTGAATAAAAATACTTTAAAAAATAATTATTATCACACTTCCAAATACTATTATATTTATTAAAATTCAATCTAGCTCATGAATTATTCTAATAACTAAATTACAGTTAAATTGACAAAAATTAATTAAAAAAATATTATTTCATATAATAAAAAATAATATTATTTTAATAAAAATAAAATAAAATAAAATCAATTTTCATTCATAGCTTTAACAAGTAGCAAGTTAATTATGTTTGAAAATGTCAATTTCAACTTGACTTAATATAAAACCTAATTTTAAAATCAAGTTTTAAATTAATAACTTGTTATGTTAATCAATCAAGTCAGGTTGAGTTTTATAATGACAGGATCAGGCATGGAGAAGAGGCTGGCAACTTGCCGTTAGAGGGTTGCCCGTATCCTACAAGAGGATAATTCCACGTGTAGCATGAACTGTATATTATACTTTTCCCACGCCTACTTGAATAAAAATCTTTTTGTTTTTTTTTAAAAATTATTTTACAATAAAAATATTTTTATATCAATTTATATATTAGTCAATTAAGATTTTTTTTTTATTACCACTTATTTCTCGAATTGGAGTTCAAAATTAAATCAATCAATATAAAGATTAACTTCTCCTAGGCCTGTCTCTAATTAGTTTTTTAAAAAAATAATAACATGAGCCACTTAATAATTAGGGTCTTCTAGATTAACCTATCATATTAATCTATCAACAATTAATATTTTTTAAAAAAAAGTTAATTTTGAAATATATAATTTTAACACAGTACTATTATTTAATTCAAGTTTGACTTTCTTTTTCACAATTGATTGCTAGATGATCCTTATTAGGGGGTTGATCCCATCAATAATTATTATTGGGAAATTAATTTGGAATTTTTATTTTGGGATGAAATAAACCTCACTGATTAACCCCTTTGTTAAGTTTTGACCTCCTTGATCCATGTAGTACATTGCTAAAATGGGAAGCATAATTAATTTCACTAAATGGCCTTTTATTCTTGGATGGGATGATAAAATGCATGAAAACAAATTGGATTGGAAAAAGGGATATAAATATGAAAAGCCAACAGTCACCGCTCACTTTAATTGGTATGTAGTTATGAAATGAATGAAAAAAAAAAAGGTGAAATGGTCTTTATCATAGTTTTATAGTTTTAGATTTGATTTAACGGCGGGCTCGATTTAAAATTTAGTTTTAGATTTTGATAAGATTATTAGGTTATCAAGATCAATTTTTTTAAATTAAAATGATATTATTTTAATAAAAATATAAAAATAAAAATTAAAAGATTACAATCGGATTTTGACTAAATCACACTGATTTTTTTTTATTTTTTTTAATTTGATCTTGTTTCAAACCTAGAATTACCAGATTTTAAGTTGACTCGTCAGGTTAGATTAAATTTTAAAACTATGGCCACGATGCATGAATGATTAAATAAAATTTTTTTCATTTGATTAATTTATTTTACATTTAAACATTTTGATTTAGACAGATTAGGATTATGTGAAATTAAAACAAAGACAGATAGTTTGAAGATTTTTATGTCTAAATTTTTAATTTTACAAATATATTGTGTTAAACAATCTCAATTGATAGCATGCCTATTAATCAAGGTTATATTTGTTTGTCTGAAAACAATTTTCATAGCAGAAAGCCTTTTTTTATACAATTAAATAATTTTTCATATTTTAACTAAATTATAAAAAAATAAGTTGAAAAATGCATTCAATATTTAAAAAAATAAATAAAATTATAAGGATACAAAACTTGACGTGATGCACCTAGGGTTCTTGGAGCTTTTTAGATCCCTGATTCAGCCTTTTCTTCTGGGATAGGGAAGACACAAAATTATCTCAAGTGAAGCATTGTTTTTTATTTAGCTGGCTAGAAAATAATTATTTTAACCATTTTTTTTGAATTTATATTTTTTTAAATAGAAATTAAAAATGAAAAACAACTTAAAAAAAAATAAAAAAAAATTCCAGAAAAACAACCATATACTCCGTAAAACTCGAGCAAGAATGTTATGTTAATATTATAAATTCTTAAAGATACACTTCATTTATTTACTTGCTGTATTTAAAATAACTTAATAAATATTTTTAAATATTAAATTCAAAATTTAAATTAGAAAGTTTTAAACACTTAATTAATCCTATATATTAATAGCATGTTTAAGATTATGAAAAAGATTAATTTTTAAAATGTTTTTTATAAAAAAATACATATTAAAAAAATATTTTTTAAATTTATTTTTTATATTAATATATCAAAACAATAAAAAAATAAAAAAATTAAAATTTCTTAGAAACATTACCACTAAAACAAAAACATCCCATTACGATTCCTCGGGTCTGGAGGCATTGAGTCCTCGTGCTCCGCGGTCAAAGAAGAACAAACACTTGCCCTCATCTTCTTCTTTCAAAATTAAAGAAAGGATTAGTTTGTAAACTAACAATACTTACAATCTCAAACCGCTACCAGCAGTGGATCGCGTGGCCTAATGGATAAGGCGCTCGCCTCCGGAGCGGGAGATTGTGGGTTCGAGTCCCACCGTGATCGGTTCTTATCACAGCTCTTTTCTTTTTAGAGATTGATTGCTCTCCCCGTAAATGCCTACCAGCTAAAAACCATACAACAACAATGGTAAGTAACATCTAGCAAAACGCTGTCTACAGACGACAAAAAAACTTTTGAATACTTTCGATGTGTTTCAACGCGGATATCCCAACATATCTTATCCAACAACAGCATGGGAAGAATGAAAGACGCCATAACATTAAAGAAAACCCTTTTCCACTAGGAAGAAATTGCGAAGCATTTTACTTCTTTTCAATCATGTCAGTTGATGGATTTGATTTGCTGTGAATCTCTTTGAACGCGTACATCCAAGCAAGCCCTTCAAAAGAGAAAGACGAAAGGGAAACTAACAGGAGGTATGCATGAAAGTTGGACTTCTTCTGCCATGGGTTTTCTTGAGATAGCGGGGCTAGCTATGCAGTGGATTTGTGCCGGCATCGTCAAAACATGATTACACTCAGCCAACTTTATTGACTATATACAGTTCCAGTACATAAATCTAACAAGGAAGCATAGAAACTGGTACCCTAACCTTCACGTTGATTAGGATTCTTGTAAAGCAAAGTAAAAACCTGGCCTGAAATGCATAGCATATACTGGTGATACATTGTTTCACGATTATATTGCGTAAGGCATTCTTGCCTGAAAATTGATTATCCACATGGTACTTTGCAGGATCCTTTTAGGGCTCAAGTTCTTGGCATTGATCGTTTCCTGGGTGAATCTGTGTAAATTCTCTTGTGCTTAGGTGAATCCTCCTTTATCCACCATAGATAAAATACAGAAGAGATGATCACAATCCCAGCTACACATGCCACTGATATCCCGATGAGTTTTCCTATACGTTTCTTGTCCCTTTTGGAAGAGCCAGCAGCATCAGATGCTACAAAAATTAAGCACAGTAGAGCAAGTCAGGAAAGCAAAAAGCAAGTCAGCAAATGGAGGAATTCTATACTTGAAAAGGAAAATTTGAAGGATGGTTCGACCTCGAGAAACATGAATGGCTGACACTAAAGGTCCATATGTGGATTGATATGGAATGCAGCAAGTGCCTTTACCAGCCCAAAAGAAGTGAATGTCCATGATTGTGTTTGTCACGTTTGTTTCAAATGTTTTAATCAAGGCTTTCTTGGATCCACCAGCTGCTTCTTTAATGTTGAAGTCCTTGAG